GAAAAAGTATTTTAAGATTTTATATAATGTGTTCATGTCCTTGTACTTCAGTTTCATCGACTGAAGTATTCTCACTTATCAGCTTACTCTCTAAAAGATTTCTGCATTCGAATGAGTTGAATGAATGAATGAACTAACCTCTTTCATAGAAATGACAGTCTCAAGAGCAATGGTTGTTCTAGTATTGTATACAAACAAATATTCTTAGGTTTGAATTAGAAAGAAGCTCCTTAACTTTTGAGATGTTGTTGTGTAACAACCTGTTTAATATTTCATTCGACTGAACTAATCATTTTTAGAAATGACTAATTTGTACCGAAACTGCAAAACTTGCAAAAAAGTTTCACTTTTAGTCACTTCCTCTGAATTTTCGTAATCAAAACCAAAGGGACACTGTGTATGTTTAAAACATATAGACATATTCACATTTTACGATTTAAGAATGGATGCATGAATTTAATGTAACTTATTGATTTTCAGCTTTTACATAAGTATGGTAGTTAGTACTCTATGTTATAGCACAGTCAACTTGAGTGGTATAGAGTCATAGGTATATATATAGACATAGAGTGTTTCAGAATTAATTGATCAATCTGGAAACGCGTCATTTTCGAGACACTACAGGGTGTTAAAGTTTGATTAAAATTCACATTCCCTGAAATACATCGGGTTCAATTCACGAAAAATAAATAAATCTCAATTCCTAGATAGCTCTAAGACACCACTAGTTACTCTAGAAAGCACCTAATCATATCATAAAGTGTCTAGAATAAAGTCCGAAGGACTTTTTTTTTCTAGAAATGCGAATTTAAATACAACACATTCACAGAAAATCCAAAAAAATAATTGGCATAGAAATAGCAGCAGAAATAGTCTGTTAAAGATAGCAAATGGTAAAAACTGTAACATTTCTACGACAATATTTTTCGGTATTTTTCTATAAAAAAAAAAAATCCGAACACCATGTCTAGTTGTCTCATTTCTGTGGTGTGTTTTATGTTTTTTTTTTATTTATCTGGCAAATTCTAGAAAAACTCTTTTAGTCATAAAGGTGGCTAAATTTTTTACATATTTCAAGGAATCTACAAATATTGATTAGCTTTATGACAGGTAAGGGATGGGTAAGTCGTAGTAAGGGAAGAGTAAATAGGTGTGAGTAGGGCAAGCTCTTTTTAATGCAAAAAATATGCACCAGTGATCATAATTGATAAAGGCAGTAAATCTCGTAATAAATATTTTTTTTACGCTGGTATTACGATAAAAATTCTTCATTAACTTTTAATAATTTATTTTAGACGTATTAAACTAATTCAAACAAATTCAATAAATTTTTCCATAAGTCCTATTAGATTAAGTCAAACGATGTTCTTCAATACCATAAATCTAGTAAGCAAAAGACTTAATTGACAATTACGGGAAATAACTACCTACTAACTCTAAAAGTCACATGCCCTAAATAGCACTGATTATATCAGCAGTATCTCACTAGACATTGCAGGTATAATTCAATGTTAGATATTATTCACTGTCATTAACTCGGCCATCAATTAAAAATATGTAAATAAAGTTACATATGTTTTACAAAACAAGATTTTTGGTGTTAAAAACATCTCTTTTGTGCTGCCCTACTCTCCCATAATCTTAGGCACTAAATGGTAATACCATTAGATAGGCTATAGATAAGGTATTTAAGAGTGGGAGGTAAGTACCTACCCTAATTACACATATAAATAGAAATATTTTAAGGGAAACAGAGGAGTTCGTTAGATCAACGAGTGAGATGTGAAATGTATGGGTAAGTTTATAAAATTTTCTTAGCGAGATTATAGTGACATAGGCATAAATAACTAAATGTGTCACATAAATTTTATGTATTTCAAAGTATTTCTAACTTTATTTATTTTGTACTGCATTTACACCTTTTTTGAGAATTATTTGTTGGTGTATCGAACAATATATATACGGCCCATTAGAATATTTCAGAGACTACTTCGATTTGAATTTTGAAAATTTGCTTATCGAATACTGAATGTCATTACCGATATTTGCCTTTCAAGACCATTTGTTATTTTTAACATAGTAATCTTGAGAATATAACCGCAATTGAATTTAAAAAGTTATGTCGGTTTTAACTTTTCAAAATATAACGTAAAAAATGGTTCATTTGGTATAATTTTCTTCAGGTGATTTTGATAGTGGAAGGTGGTTAAAATAAGTGCTACAACATTGGCATTATTTTATTTAAAGAGATCACCCCCAAAAGCCCCAAAGCTTAAATTTTCAAAATTGAAATCGAAGTAGTACTTTCATTCAAAGTAACTCAGAAACTTGAAGAGCTAGAACCGTTTTGCAAGCGCCATTAAGTTAGCAACAGAACTATCTAAAATGTTCCCCATTTAACCAATTTCCTATTCCTTATAGTTAGATACCAATACCTGCGTCACCAAAATGATTCACACTGTATATACTACTTTCTACTGTAATACAAGGGGGATAAATTGAATAATTCCAAAGGATATTGTTATTAAATTTTACTACAACAAAAGTGATTATATTCTTTTTGTGGAATTCTAGGAAAACAATTACATACTTACCTTTGTCTGTTGCTTGTTTTCACTAGTGACATGTATGAGGTCTTCTATATTAATTTCTTAGGTGTTGCATTGTTATACTTTTATTTTATCAGTAGTAACATGTATCAGGTCATTTACATATTGTGTATTACTATCTTGATAGGTTTTAAATTTTTAATTTGTTATATTTTAATAAAGCACACAAATAGCCCACGTACAAGAATGTCCAAACACTCTTTTGTGGGTATTATTTCTTTATCAGTTTGTTTATGTTCATTATAAAATTTAGTATTTTTGTTTTTTTTTAACAACAATAAAAATAGAAAGTTGGAGTTATGCAATTCTACTTGTTGAAGCCAGTAGAACAATACATTATTTTTTGCCCATAGTTTCCGAATATTATGTGCAATATTCAATAATTTAATACTAATAATTAAGCATATAGTAGGCTACATTAGAAAATGGAAAGGCAAGAGAAAATTTAAAATATAAAATTGTACCCAAAACAAACTTATTAATTCAATAGAACACAAAACAAAACAAATAAAATAGGCTTTTAAAAAACAGCTACCTATTAACGTCTGTGTATACCATTTTCTAGATATCTATGAAGTTTTGTATGAGAATTGTAGTTAAAATTGCAGTCAATTTTTTTCCTCGCGTTTAGTACTCAAGTTCTGGCATTTTCATTTTATCAAAATAACCACTAATATAATACAATTACCAATTATAATAAAGAAACGTGTCTTTAATACACGTATTTTACATGTTTTATTGAAAGCAAAAGTAACAAAACAAATCTATATCTCGTAGGACTACCAGAAATAATTACTGTTTAATATGACCTACTACTGACAAAATATAAATATCGCACAAAAGTAATGCTATTAGATATTATTCGCGTCGTATTTGAACATCGCTATTTTATTGTAGAAATGTGCAGGCGAAGGCAGTAGAAAAGGTGTCTCATCTCGAGAGTCAATTTTTTTCATTAGCAACATTGTTTTTTTTAAACAATTTGGGTCGAAAATAAGTTTTTCCAATATATTAGAAAAACTATTGATTTTAGAGAAATTCGTTCAACAGACAAAATATGCTCAATAAAAAGACTTACAAAATGCTAGATTAAAATCGGCAAAATTGTTTAAAAGTTATTGCAAAAAAGCATCAAAAACACGTGGAAAAATTCTTTCTTTAACTATCCATAACTTGGTTGTCATTTGTTGGAATTTTATAAATATACCTAAAAGTTGTGAGTTTAATTGTACGAAAGATGGGCGCTGTAGGTCCAATAGTTTTTGCTAAATTCTATTTTTTATCCTGTCAAGGGCAAAAATGCATAACTTTAACCTTCTGTTTATCCGAAAGTTATTAACAAAAGGGTTTAGAAAGTCGATTTTTAAAGCTTAAAACTTAACTTGGCTTTATATTTAAATGGAATTTTGATTTATTGGCAGGAGCCGTTTTGATTTTTAAATTAAAAAGTAGTTTTTTACTTTTTTTATAAACATTTAGATTATCTCCAAAACCAAGCATAATATTTAATTATAAAAAGTGTGATTGTATAGCCAATTAAAAAACACACATTTAAAAAAATGTTCCTACGTCCTTTTTGAGCCGAGTTAGACTTTTTTTTTTAAATTACTGCGCCTCTGGTAACAATAAAATAGCGACGTCAATTCATCGATTTTTTTAGTCCATTTATTGCTATGCATATATCATTAACCATCAACCTTAAATTAGGCCGATTTTAGTGTCGTGTTTAAAAAATACAATTTAGAATAAATGCTATGGAACAATATTTTCGAGTCAAATGCTATTGCGTTTGGTTATTGGAAATTTCTCTAACGCACTAGGAACAAAGCTATTGCTTGACTTGAAAAAATAAACTATATGTCATTGCTTGTAAATGGTATTACCACTTACAAGCAGTCAAACGATAAAATGGAAAATTAAATGAGCAATACCAGAATAAAAGTAATCATTACTTTCGTTTATTATTATTGTTCTTATTTATCACAAAATTTAAACCATAAAGCAAATCACTTTTCACACATTTAAAGGCCCCATGTGTGTGTATGTGTGAGCTCAACTTGGTTACACGGATTATCTCAAATAAAATCTGACATTCCCTATATAATAGAAGCAATATTTAATATTTCTATTTGAAATTTCCTTCCGTGTAGTAAATTTTATGTATTTATTGTAAAATTTCTAAAATTTGGAAATATTTCATATTTAATGTAATTTTACCGTATCAGTTGTGACGATGTTTCTGATTGTTAGAAATTTTCTTCCGTAAATTTTCATTTTCATTTTTAGTGTGTATGTATTTTGCTCCGAAATACTTTTCTTACTACATCAAGTTTTTATTGTATTTCTATAACTATTATACATTTACAGAACCAAAAATTATGTTTCAGCAAAATGAACGAACTATATTTCCTGCTCGTCATCGGTATCGTAGCAGGGGCCGCTGCAAAGGATGAGGACCCGGCGACTACCACTCCAGAACCACCTCAACCGGTTTACAAGACCCCGCAACAGACCCCCGCATACGCGCCCCAAAATTATCCTTACTCAGACAGCTACGCCTTTTTTTACCCTTCCATGTTACCAGCTCAACCCCAGGCCTATTCGGGGCAGCAGGCTCAGTCGAGTTACGTGCCGGCGGTGATACCTGCAGCACAGGTAAATGTTAGTTTAGCATAATATGACCGAATTAATTATCTTTGGGTCTAATTACACGGAAATCTGCGTCTAAAGGGCACCGGCGATATCATTCTTCAGTGATTAATAGCCAACGGTTGGCAAGGTCATTGAGGACAGGTCGATCCATTAGTGTTCATTATAATTTGCTGTTAGAAAATTTCGAAGGGCAAGCGAACGTTTTACAAACACAGACCTACGAAAATTAATAAATAAATTTCCTTAATTAAAAAAATTATCATCAACTTATTCAAGAAAATGTATTCATTCAAAAATGTATTAAGAAAGTTTTGAATATTGTAAAACCAACCCTTTATGAAAAATGGGATAAACTGGGTCATAGAGAACTTCCGATCTTATAGGAAATTAGAAAACTTAAAAATAAGGCTTGGCTAAGACTAAAAAAAAAAGTAGAAATTTTGACATTAGTGATTACTACGGTAATGCTGTAAAGCCCTGCTTTTTAATCCTACAGTATAAATAGAATTAAAAATGACTCAAAACAGTTATGGTCAAAATTAGAATCATGGGGCGTTGCGTTGTAAGTGATAGACTAAATTAAAATCTTTCTGACGAGATCTGCAATGCTACTCTCATTAATAATTACTTCATTGACTCTACGCCTAATTTAAATTTAACCAAGATTACATCTCTCACCTTCATAATTCTAAATATAAAAACAATTTACATTTTACATACAGACCTTCAAATATTAATAAAATTCAAGATGTTATTCTGAAACAAAAATCTCATAAAATGGGTTCAGATGGTATTTCTGGAAAAATGTTTCAATTGTCGGTTAAATGGGTATCGGCGCCACTTACACACAAAACATTTTTCATTAGAGATTGATCAGTTACCGAAACAATGGAAAGTTACTTGCATTAGACCATTACCAAAAAAGAAAAATTCAAAACAGTTGTCTGTTCCTCTCAAGATTGCTGAATCTGCTATTTTTGACCAATTGTTTGAATTCCTATAAATCAATCAGGTTTTCAGAAGGGAATTAGTTCTTTAACATTATTGCCTAATGTAACTGATGACATTTTGACAGATATCGACAATTCTCTGATTTCGTCTTTAACTTTATTAGATATGACTAAGGCATTTGACTCAATTGACATCAGTTGCCTTATTGCTAAATTTTATTATTATGGTATTATATATTGTGCTGGTTTTGTAATTACTTATACGGTTGAGAACAATATACTAGATGAAGTACGGATTCCTCGATAGATCAGTTGGTTCTGGTGTTCCTCGGGGATCTACAATATTAGGACCAGTTTTGTTTAACATGTTCACAGCAGAATTCCTTTGAATTGTAAACTAAATATGTACGCTGACGATCTACAACTCCTTTGTAGTTTTAAGCCTTCTAATTTAAATATTGCCACAGCAGTTATTAGTAATGACTTAATAATAATGACAATTAATTCATGACTGGATCTTACAAAATACTTTATTAGTTAATCCTAATAAAAGTCAAAACATTCTATTTGGACCATCAACTCAATTGCGAGGTCTGGATAACTTTAACGTTTTAATTAACAATGAAAATATTCCTGCAGCCAATGTTGTTAAAAATCTTTTGATTCATCGTTGACTTTTTCGAGTCATGTAACCGTTATCTGTAAGAAAGCTTTCTTATCATTAACACAGTTGCAATGCTTTAAAAAGTATCTAAATTCTCAGACCAACATTTTACTTACCGAATATTTAGTCTTATCTCATTTGAATTATGCTGATGTTGTCTATGGCCCCTGCCTTTCTCAAGAAAATAAACACCGTTTGCAAAAAATGCAGAATTGTTGCGTTCGTTTTATTACGAATGCCCCCCCCAGTTTAGTCACATAACTCCATATTTACGTTCCTTCAATTTGTTGAGCATTTCTGAGAGGAGACTTATTCATTTTGTCAGTTTTATACTCATTATTTTAAAGAATAACAAACCTACATATTTATGCGATAAATGTGGAACACATACTAAAAACTTGAGATCACGAAAATTCATTTTCGTATTTAGCTTCCTATGTTATTAATAATTTACCCCTCCAGTATCACAATTTGACAGTGACAACCGTTAAACATATGTTAAAAAATAATATACTTTTATCTGATTTGGTACCCTTTGATGAATGTAGGTTTGAACTGTATTTAATTGCGTTTTGTGTTCATTCTTGTCCTTTTTATCACTCGATTTATTGTATTTATTTGTTTTTAATCTGGTCTCTTTGCCACAGGAGGTGTTGTAAAACAACTTTGTTGATACACTTTCCTTTTGTAAAAAACGTTTTTATACTTCTTTTTTACAATAGATGTATTATTCTTATTATTAAATTTATTCCTGAATAAATTCTCAATGTAAGATCCTTAGATATCAACATGTATCCCAATGTCTGGTTTTTTGAATCAAAATACTCATAAAACTCCATTTCTCTGTACAACTTGCAAGAATCCAAATTTTTTACATATAACTTTATATATTTCAGTAAATAATTATTTGGGCAAAACTTATTATCTTGAGAACAGCTGAAGACACAAGGCTGATGTACTTTGTACGACAAATGCACATATATTAGTACTAAGAACTACTTAAAATAACTAGATAAGTATTCCTAGTTCATATTGTCTGAATTTATTTATTTGTCGCATAGTTTTCGTTTTTTTTTCTTTATTTTTTGGGTATTTTACCATCTGTCAAAATTTTTTTAAAATTACTGAAACAAACCCTTGCGCCAAATCAGTTACGGATTATTTTTATGAAAACACATCACTTATTTATATTTTCGTTTTAATAACTTTGACAGTTTATATTTGTTTGCTTTTATCTGTTCCGTAGCTAGAGATATCATACGATGGACAAAAAAATAGGAGAACGAATCTAAACTTAGACTTAATTTTTAATTCCAAGTAACATTTTCCCATTACATTTTTCTCGAAAATATCTCAAATTTGAAAAGTTTAATACCATTTTTTCAAAAAGCAGAACTTTTTATAAACAAAAATATTTTTTTCGTAAAATTGTTAATAAAAAAATTTCCACATTTGTAGAGAACTTAAAGGGACACACTGTATATTCGAATATATAAAAAATCGTTTTTAAAACAAGTGACTATGTAATAATAATTAAATAATTTTAATAATGGTCTTTTATCTTTCTTTTTTGATGGTTATTATACAATATCATGTTTTATGTCTTCAGAAAGGAAATAAACATTTCCGAAAGGTTGACAACAAACACAGTGTGTTTAATATACTAGCCCTCAGCACTGTTGATTTCATTCCCAAACATATCACTGGTTTATATATAATATAAGATAATCTTTGGATAATATCCAATGAAAAATCTTAATAGTTTGTTCTGAGAGTTTTATCCAGCTTACACTTTTCATCATATAGGCATTAAAAAACTGTATGTTCAAAGTATATATTAATCTTTTTCACGTTTCCTTTGTTATCGTAAAAGAGGTAGTTTTTTTTTAAGCAGAACTTTCATTGTACGCTCTTCCACTTCAAAGCATAGAATTTATTTGGTACACTTACGATTCACAATTTCTTTTGTACAGCTGAACAATTCTAGGGCCTCCAGATAGGTCTTTAATAAAAAAACATACATTAAACGAAGGTAAAATTTATGGATGTCAAATTTGTGTAGAGTAGATAGTGTAAAAAAAGTTTTGTGAATAGACATTTCCAATCACTTAACTATAGACTTAACTAAATTATTTAATAATGGAGAATATATTTTATCTATGTAAATAAAAATAATTAAATGCTGTTCGTTGGCAAGCGAATTACTTGAGAAAGGCTGGATCAATTCGGCTATTTTTTTTAATGTTCGTAATAGTACAAATAAGGTTTTTAAGGAAAGAAAAATAGGAAAAATAGCCCGGAATATTGAAAAATTCGGAAAAAAACTGCTTATCACAAACAAATTTATTGATATTTGGACAGGACAACGTTTGTAGGGTCAGCTAGTATTGCATAAATACAACTCATATAATAATTTTACAATTATATACCTTGTCTGTGCGGTAACTTCAAGAGGTTGTTCCTCGGATCATTTTAGATCGAAGATTCTTAATGGACGTAAGGTTCAAATATGCAGGGTGTCCCGGTACTTGATACAAAAAAGTCGAATACAAATAGATGAAATCAAAATAGTATCAGTACTTTATATAATTTTTATTTATACGGACTTTCGTTAACGTTACGGGTCCTCAAAGTTGAGAATTAAAAAGTTGTTTTTATTTACAGTCTCTAAACTATTAATTTCAGCATGATGCAAATGTTTCTGATGTTGTAATTTTATTTAGTCAGCTTGTTCTTGATGTTGTAAGTGAAACTTCATTATGCCCAGAACGCAAGGGAAGGGTTATGCCCTATGGTTAACAACCCAGAGTTTTTGCATAGATGGCGATAGCAATTAAAATGTATCAAAATTAAGTTCTCTGAAGAATTTGCCAACGATAATACCCTCTTGGTTCAACTCGATAAAATTAACAGTTTAGGAAGTATTTGGGATTTTATGTCACAGTGTACATCGAGCGGCGCCTCCACCATTTTTTGTTTTTAATTTTTTATTGGACATAATTGCTATGTTAGAACGGTATATATTAGCCCAGAAAATCTTACCGTCAGATGTAATTTTCAATAACAGTATTTGACAAACACACTTTACACATAACACAAAATAGAAATACAAAACAAGAATTGTTAAAATAAGTTAAAAAAATAGTTTAAAAGAAAGAAAACTATCTAAATACATTTTCAATATGGGCACCTTCCACCTCCACACACTTTTTAAGTGTACGAATGTTATTTGTTTGTATAACCTGTGTTTTCTATAAAAATTATTTCTTGCGTGAATTTTAGGACATCCTTTATAAAAGAAGTATGTATTTGGTATCATATTATACACTAAACGTACAAAGATTTTATCGTTGTAAACCTATATCTAAAAATGTGTATAATTATAGCAC